TTCCTCTGTCGTTAAAAAAATAAAAATCAGAGGAAGCGACGAATAACAGGACTAGCATTCTCGGGAAGAGCCGCGAGACAATTCATGGTTTTTGGCCGATGACAACCGGGAGAATTCTCCCAACAGAATTTCGAAGATTTTCTTTCGTTCCATAAGTTTCTATACCTTTTCATGAGCTCTCGAACGTGACGACTCTATCGCAAATAAATCTACCGTGCTAAATACTATTTAGCATTTTAGATTTTCCTCAAATAGACTGGTATAATAATGAAATAATATCTTCTACAAACTTCTTCTGCACATGTTTATAATTCGCTGCGTTGATAGAAGTGACATAAGTAAAAAATTAGCATTTTGCATTGAAATAATAAAAGAAAATCAACTCTAAAGATTGATGTATTTAAAAAAACAACACATTCACAGAAAAGTATCGTATAATTTACTATACTATAATTGCAGTATTCGAATTTTGAAAACTCTAAAATAATTTTAAAGAATACATTATAATTGAAAGTATAAAAGGTATGAAAAGAGAGTGAAGTTATAGAAATTGCATATTCACAATCCTAATTAAAACGTTACTTCAATTAAGAATTAAAAAAATGTTCTACTGAAAAATAACTAATTTTAAGATGTGTCTTTTTTATCAACACAGTGAATTATCTATCATCAGCTACAACGTTTTGGCTATAACTATCGTTTAAACATTGACAGAGTTCTAACTTCCATATGACTTTATATATACTTATGAGTTTTCACTGAACCTTGAACAAACAAACGTTTCCGATGATGTCCCCATACCCAGAACTGTAATAACGAGCTACCTTGCATGAGAAAGCCGAGAGGATCGTGGAAAGGGAGACATCGGACAGACGGTCGAGAAACGAGAATAATAATTCCGTCAGCCACGCTCGTTCCACACTCGCTCCCTCGACGTGACTTCACACCTTCTTCGTGTCTCATAATTCGTGCTTCGTCTCGTATCGCCTTCGTGCTCGAAGAAGCGTTCTTCCCGCGATAAATCAAAAATACTTTCGAGGACGGAATTCGTTCGAATTTGTACCGACGTCTTTGTCCTTCTTTCTCTCGCGCAATTTCAAACGGCGCGCTAAAAATATTTTATTATAAGAACGCTATTTTTTTCACGTTAGCGAACGTTAGCCCGAAATATAAACTACAGTTGTAAGCTTACCAGGCGTGACTTCGTTGGTTAACTTTGCGGTACACAGGTTACTTATGTACGATACGCATTCCGCGGACGCACGCGTGCGGTTCGTCTCTCTCTTTCTCTCTCTCTCTCTCTTTCTTGCGTTACTATTTATACATACGACCGAGCTAATTTGCTTCCCCGCGTTTATTTCCGATTGGAAAGAAAAATCCGTGAGCGACAGTAGAGGATTTAAGGTGCTTTCGATCAATGGCAGCAAATCGAGGCGAGAGCCCGAGCTTGACAACGAGAGATAACATCTTATCGTACTCTCGCATCTATCATCGCATCATCATCTACTAATTAACCAGATAATCAATCGTGAATAACGATCTGTCCTCTTGTGAGGAGGCAAACAAACGCGAGTTAAGATACGGATCTTGCGACGAAGGAGCGGCATTATTATAACGATCAATGTCATTAAATCAGTATACATATTAAAGATATACCGATCGCCTGCTCCGGATTCTTAAGGATGTTCGATAGACCTATACACATAGCATATATATTAATATTTATTATTAAACAAACACTATATACATGTGAAAGTTGTGTTCATAACATTTTGTTTTTATTAAACAACACATTTTTATTGTATTTATAAACTAAAATTTAAAAAATAACAAAAACTTAAATATTAATAAACGATTTAATAAAAATCTAAATGTTTTTGTATAAGTACTTTAAGTAAGTAAAGTAAAATAACTTTTACAAAGTTTCATTGCAATTCATCAATTAGTTACAAAGATTTAAAACAAACAAATATTTTGTTTATTTACTGGACAATTAATTTCTGCATCGCAATGTAACTTTACATAAATAATCTTGAATATATAAAGTACTTACATTAAAAAATTGAAATATTTGTCATTTTATAATATATGATATTTCCATACATTTCTATTAGAACATGGATTTAAAAATTACTACTTCTTATTTTTTGAAATAACTTGTGATCCAAATTGTAAACCGTCACTAAAAATTTGTTATATTACTTTTAAATGTGATTTAGAATAATCTGTAATTTTTTCAGAATGTTTTTTTATCTTGAAATATCTATCGAATATCCTGCACAGTACACTGTATAAAATTATTTGCAAGGAGAAAAGTTTCTGATGGAAACGAACCAATAGATTCTAATTATATCAGAATTTAATTAGAATTCCGGTTATCATGATTGGACATCTGGTTATCTCGACTAGAATTATAGATTTAGACTAAAATTATAGACTAGAATTAAGAGACTTTAACTGTAAAATTCTGATTTGTGTGTTCATTTTCCATTAGAATTCCGATTAATGCAACGAGACTTTAGTTCAATTTTAACTCCATTAACATTTAAAATTGCTGTAACTCCTACATAAATTTTTCATTTGGAACTATGTAATTATTGTAACTGAATTCAGTACAGTATAATTTTATTTCTATATAATTGCAAAATATCAAAAATATATGAATACAGTCTCAAATGTAAGTAATATTGAAATAACGCTTCACTCATCGAAAACAAGATTAGAAGCCAAATTGGCACCTTCAGCTGTTCTAGCAGAGGCTCGGCAGTTCTAGTGTTAATCTCTCGGAGAGAAATGATCATAGTAATCGGAGGGGATTTATTCCACGACGCGCGAGATAAAATCATACAGGGCACGTGGACGCGAGATACCGTCCGTAGTCGAAAGGATCTGGCTCCTTTACGGGACATCATAAAGATTTATATTTAGAAGAACGTGATGCGACAAAGGCCCTTGCTCTTTCAGCGTGTCCTAGATAAATCTTTAGGTATGTGCCGCGTCGCGGTCGCGCGTTCTCGCGACCACTTAGCATTAAACTACATAAAAATAAATCAATGAATCACCGCGAGGGGGGAGGGAGAGAGAGTTACGGCGTTCGCACAGGAGATGAACGAGACCCTAGTGCGACGAGTTATCTCGCGATGCGCGCGCGGTTCATTAACGACACCGTCGATTAATTATCGCGAGCAAAAAGCTCATTTACTTGTGCGAGACAAGCCGGGAAAAGCACGAGATCTGAGCAAAAGTATCGGCGATCCGATATTATGTCAGAAGAAGTTAGAAATTAGGGAATGGACGGATACAAAACGACATGTGTCTCCTACAAACGGCAAATATAACACGGCAGATTAACACGGCTGGCCACGAGGGAGCTTCATTAATTCGACTGGATAATAATAGGTATTCTGGTCTGCGCCGTGAGGTCGTTACGATTAGGCGAGTCATCGTGGCTTTCTATAAATAACGGGCGGAGACAGACATCGCCAGGGGGTGGGAAAGGGAGACGCGAAGACAGAGAGGGAAAGAAGGAGAGTGAAAGAGAAGTGACTGAGGAGAAGAAGCGACTAGTAATCTCGGTTGTTTCACCACCATCGCCGTTCATGGTGTGTCGGGTGTCTCGAAGGAAAACGAAAAGGTGGTCGACGTTCGGGCAACACATGTCCCGAATGTGTTCCGGACACGGTGATACGAGGGGACGAAAGAAAAATAGGGATAGTAGCCCAGTGAGATGGTGAAGCGTTCGAAATTACCTGCGAGGTGGCGATTCACGCGATTGCTCCGATATGGGACGAGACTTTATCCAAATGAAATGCATTCTTTCGTTCGCGTTCGAGTGTTTGGGCTCGAGACTTTGAGAGAGTTCGACGTTTCGAATTATTCTTTCCTTATCTATCTTTCTATCTTGTCTGGATCGAGTTTCCTGTAGCTATCGGTTACGTGAAAAAATATCAAGTACGTAGATTGATTTCCGGCATTTCGAAAAATACCTGAACGAAATGAAAAACGAGAGGTCCCATATACCGGAGGTTCTGGGACCTTTTTCGCGCGGCGCATCTCGGAATGGCGCGAAAACTGCATCGCGCGCACGTGTGCGTATGAGTAGCGCACGCATGATGGGACGACGCGACGCGACGCGACGCGACGCAAACGCAACGCGATGCAACGACGAAGCGGCGCGGCGGGAGGATAGGATAGGAGAGGAGAGGAGAGACGAGGAGAGAGGAGGAGAGAGGAAGAGAGGACGCGTGTGGAGGAGAGCCACGGCGTTAGAAAGAGAGCGAGAGGGAAGGTGCCGTCAGAATGGTAGTGGGGTTCAGAGTTTTGCCGGCGATCTCGGCACTCGGCGGCATCCGTCGTAGTGGGGAAAGACTAACCCACGAGGGGTTGCGGAGGGAACGAGCGTGGACGAGCGGTTATTTCAAGCGACGGCTCTTCTGGCACTTCGCCCCGAGCTTTCCTCGTGCACATCCTCCTCTCGGAGAAGTAGTGCTCTGTCACGAGTAGTAGCGCGTATCGTCAGTGTCGCGACGTCGCAGTCTCGAGATTGAGAGAAAGAGAGAAAAAGAGAGAGGAGCAGAGTATCATTAGTCAAGACTGCAAGGATACAAATTCGTTAAAAAGCCGCCGATCGATCGAACGATTTTGCCGTATCGGTCAGTATTCTCGAGATCATCCGCGGAAAGCGAGTGTCCAGTGACATTCGCAGTGACAAAAGACCAAAGTCTTTCGAGGGTGACAGTCACGGTGTCAGTGAATGGATGAACTCTTTTGTGTATGGTGACGGGATTAAGAGTCGCGGAACGGCAGGACAGTCGTATAAGACGAGAATCCCGTCTTCGGCGAGATCCGTCGGGAGAATCGAAGGATGGAACGCGCGTGGAAAAGAGTAGCGAAGGAGGATCTATAACGACGCGACGCGCCGCCGTCGGATGTGTCGGC